CCTGTGTGTACAGGGAAGAAAGGAATTGATGGCTGTCTTCTTGGAGGCAAACTACCTCAGTGGGTATCAAGTTCATTATATTAAACTAAACATTATAATTTTCAAAATAGCAACTAATTCACAGACTGGTGTCCACCTCGGGGGGCGGGAACCCATTGTGTGAACCCCCTTCCTGAAACCCATTTAGTAGATACACCAGTTAAACCTACATTTTGAAACGGATATCACCTGCTCCACCAAACATGACTTGGGAATGAATAATTTGCTTGGTGACTGGAAAATAAGTGCATTAAATTAGTATTGAACTTGCTTTAGACCCATTTAGTCTTAAAGAGAACAAATCACTGGCTTATTGGTTCACAGACAAGGCAAAAAGATATATTTTTGCAAAATCTCCATTGTGGTTAAACCCAAGATGGCTTAATTTCAGCCTGATACAGAGTGCAAACTCATAAAAGCAAATTGCCTGACATAGTAAGTACACAATAAAAATGAGCTCTAAGTATTCAATTAAATAGTTAAAGAATTACAATCTGACCATAAAAATACTTAGTAATTCATCAGAAAAAATATCTTTATGTTATAGGCAGGAGTCTCAGGCCCAGCAAGGAGCCGGGGCTCTGCCCAAGGTCACACAGCTTTTAGGAGCAGAGCCAGGTTTAAAGTTCATCTGGACTCAGATTTCTCACTTATGACAGAAAAAAAGTCACATCTCAAAGTGTGCTTAATAACCTGGGAATTTTACCGCAAAATGAATGACATTATATTTCAACTGGAGTTTTTGCCGAATTCTACAGAGAACAGCTTGACCCTCAATTAATGAGCACGTGCACATGTTAAGTCTTTCACATCTGCCAGGTAGGTGCAAATGTAGGTAATTAGCCCTGACCTTGAGTGGCCTATGCATTTCACCCAGTTACAGATGTTGCAGAAAGTTGTAGTGGGCTTTGATTAAATTCAGTATAAAGCCAGCAAGAGTCATTATATGTCAGAAGTAACTGATGGTATTGCAAGGAATCTTGCTGAATATGTGTATATGAATATTAAATTTCTCTTTTGGAGTTTAAAAATTCAATTAGACATATGCTTACATAAGAATTTTTGAAACCTGTGTCAGCTAAAGCTGAAAATAGTAGGTATGTCATGTGTATATGAGAAAATAAAATTTTTAAAAAAACATATAGGGCGCTCTATGTGTTTTAATTTTTAATTTTTATTGATACATACTAATTCTACATATTCATGGAGACGTGATATTTTGCTACAAGCATACAATGTGTAATGATCAAATCGGGGTAATTGGGGTATCCATTACCTCAAACATTTGTCACTTCTATGTGTTTGGAATGTTGCAAATCTAGCTATTTTGAAATATAGAGTACATTACTGTTAGCTATAATTGCCCTATTGTGCTATTGAACACCAGAATTTATTCATTCTATCTAAGTGTATTACTCATTAGCCAGCCCCCCTCTTTTTAATCTCCTCTTCCCACTACCCTTCCCTGTCACTAGTAACCACCATTCTATTTATCTCCATGAGATAATTTTTACCTCTCATATATGAGTCAGAACATGAGAGATTTGTCTTTCTGTGCCTGGCTTATTTCACTTCGTATAATATCCTCCAGTTCCATCTATGTTGCTGCAAATGACAGTATTCTATTCTTTTTATGGCTGAATAGTATTCCAGTATGTATATGTACCACATTTCTTATCCATTTTTCCATTGATGGACATTTAGGTTGAGTCCATATTTTGGCTATTATATGCATAGTGCTGTAATAAACATAGGAGGGCAGATATCTCTAAAATATACTGTTTTTCTTTATTTTTGATATATATGCAGCAGTGAGATTTTTTTGGATCATATGATAGTTCTATGTTAGATTTTGAAGAACATTTATACTGTTTTCCATGGTAGCTACACTAATTTGCATTCCCACCAACAATATACAAGTGCTTCCCTTTTTACACATCCTTTCCAGGATCTGTTATTTTCTGTCTTTTTGACAATAGCCATATTAACTGGGATGAAATGATATCTCACTGTGGTTATGATTTGTTTTTCCCAGATGAGTAATGATAGTGAGCATTTTTTTCATTTACTGCAACCTTACTGAATTATCAGTTCTGACAGATTTTTGTTGAAGTCTAGGTTTTTCTAAATGTAAGATCATATCATTTGCAGAAAAATACAGTTGACTTCTTTCCAATTTGGATGCCTTTTATCTTTCTTTTGTATAATTGCTGTTGCTAAAACTTTTAGTTCTGTGTTGAATATAAGTGGTGAAATTGGGCATCCTCGTCTTGTTCCAAATCTTAAAGGAACGGCTTTCAATTTTGCCCCATTCAGTATGATGTTAGCTGTGTGGTTGTCATAATGGTCTTTATTGTTTAGAGGTATATTACTTCTAAATTCATACTCAATTTGTTGAAAGTTTTTACCATGCAGTGATGTTAAATTTAGTCAAATGCTTTTTTGGCATGTATTGAAATGATCACATGATCATATGGCTTTTGTCCTTGATTCTACTAATGTGATTAACCATCCTTACATCTCTGGAATAAATCCCACCTGATGATAGTAACTGATCTTTTAAATGTGTTGTTCCATTTGGTTTGCATTAGCAAAGCAAATTTTGATTTACAAAATTAATATTTTGTTTAGGATGTTTCCATCTGTGTTCATTAGGGATATTGGCATGCAGCGCTTTTTGTTGTTAGTCTTTGTCTGGTTTTGGTATTGGGGTAAAGCTGGCCTCACAGAATGAGTTTGGAAGTATTTCTTCTTAAATTTTTGTAATAGTTTGAGTAGAATTTAGTTTTAGGTCTTCTTTAAATATTTGGTAGAATTCAGCAGTGATGCCATCAGGGCCTGGGCTTTTTTATGATGGGAGGCTTTTTATTACCACTTCTATCTCACTCGTTATTGGTCTGTTCAAATTTACTGTTTCTTTGTGGCTCAATCTTGGTAGGTTGCATGTGTTTAAGAATTTATAAATTTATTCGAGGTTTTTCAATTTATTGGTGTATTGTTAGCATAATAGTCTCTAATGATTCTTTGTATTTCTGTGGTACCAGTTAAAATGTCTCCATTTTGTCTTTAATTTCATTACCAGGAGGTGCAAGAATCCTGGTTCTTAGTGTTACTTGGAGAAAGTATTCTGCCAAGTGACTAACTTAGCCAAAAAAGAGAATTCATTGAAGGAAAACAGAGCAGAGAGTTTATTCAGAGAAACAGTACACTCTGAAAAGACAAAGCAAGCTGCTTAAGGCATTGGGCCAGCAGCACCCTGAGAGTTCTGCATTGGGATTTTATGATGTCAGCCCTGCCTTAAGGTCCCCTGCTTCTCTCCCCACCAGCCCCCTGCCTAGTCCCTGCCTCAGGCTTGTAGGACCATCAGTTACTATTAGTTGGTGCACATGCGTGGGCCAATGTTGAATATGAATGTTTCCTGCGTTATCTCTCAGGAATTTCTTCATTGCCCTTTTTGCCCCTCCTTAGGCATGCATCTAACTATGTTCTGACAGGTTAAATGCAGAGTGAATGATGACTGGGCTTCTTAATGGGTGTTCTTTTCTGCCTAGGTACTTTTCCTCCTCATATCCAGAATGCTAGTTCTGGTGGTCCCTAGGGTGTGAGATTTCCCAGACCTCCCTTTTCTCAGGGACTCCCTTTCCCGCTCATGTCTAGCTATCTGCCCACTCCAACAATTTTGTTTATTTGATTCTTTTCTCATTTTTGTTAGTCTACTCAAATGTTTGTCAAATTTTTTCTTAAAAATCAACTTTTCCTTTTTTGTTTAAATTTTATTTCTGCTGTGATCTTTATTATTTCATTGTACTAATTTCGGGTTTGGTTTGTTCTCGCTTTTCTAGTTCTTTGAGGTCCATTGTTAGGATGTTTATTTGAAGTCTTTTTACTTTTTCAATGTGGTCATTTATTCCTATAAACTTCCTTCTAGTACTACTTTTGCTGTATCCCATAGGTTTTAGTATGTTGTGCTTCTATTTTAATTTGTCTCCAGAAATTTTTAAATTTCCTTCTTAATTTCTTTGACTCATTGGTCATTCAGGAGTATGTTGATTAATTTCTGTAGTTTTTGTACAGTTTCCAAAGTTCCTCTTATTGATTTTTAGTTTTATTCCACTGTGGTCAGAGAAGATACGTAATAAGATTTTGAATTTTTTGAATTTGTTGAGACTTGTTTTGCAGCCTAACATATGGTCTATACTGCAAAATGTTCCAGGTGCTCACAGAAAGAATGCATATTCAGTAGCAGTTGGATAAAATGTTCTATGTTGGTTTGATTCAATTGCTTATATGTTTGCAGCCATTTACTAGGTACTAGGGGTAAGTTAAAATATAAGATTACCTTTCTTTAAGCAATCTATAAGTAAAGTAGTGAAGACTAGCACACATGAATACTTAGGCACTAATAAATTACCAATTATTAACCTATTTTTAATGCCTGTCTCTTTAAACAAAGAGGAAAATATATCCATTTAGCATTTGTTTTCGACAGGAAAGATTTCATAAGAAAGTTGTGACTAGATAATGGACTTTTGTGTATGTGTGACAGCGTCTCACTCCGTTGCCCAGGCTGGAAGGCTGGAGTGCAGTGGTATGATTATGAATCACTGTAGCCTCAACCTCCTGGGCTGAAGCGATCCTCCCACCTTAGCCCCCCAGTATGTTGGAATTATAGGCATGAGACACCATGCCCAACCTGGGCTTTTATTGATAGATAGGATTTCAACAGGTAGAAGAGTTCATTTAGATATTGTTCTTCATGAGAAACCAACAATAATACTGAAATTATCCACATCCAAGTTAAAAATACTACCTCAACAAAGAAAGAAAAGCTATTTCTTAACTTTGGATACCTGTGAAATGGCAAAGAAAAACGGGGAAAAATTACTAATTTCATATATGACATAAAAGAACTCTAAATTCAACTGCAATTTGAATGCTAGCCTTACCAAACTCCAGAAAATTAGATAAATGTTAGCATCATCTGTGAAATTAGCATATTAGTCAATATTTTGTATTAACCATGGTCAAGTGATTAATGATTTTTTCCAGACAATGATTGATTTCTACAGTTGATTTCCCATCTAATGACAATATATCCTAGTTAATATAAGGAAGAAACAGCTCCCGTAGTTCTCATGAGTTGCCTTTTCAGTGGTATTGGGATTGGTCTGCACACCAATTTCATGTGTCTGTGTATAGAAAGTCTGTCAGTTTCCTTTTGTATCTTCTATTAGTTTGGTAAGATCCATTTTATAAGTGATGCTTCACACAAGGCACCATTTACTTAGTTAATGTTCCCTCACCAAACTTTCATTTATTACAAAAATAGAAGGAAAAAATAGAAAACTAACCAGAAATCCACCACCTTAACATAACTTCACTTTCCCTCATTGCTTCCTAATATTTGTCCATATGCATGCATAATGTGTTTATAATATTGATACAATTTTTTTTACTTAAATTATTTTTGTACTGATCACTCCCTTTATTCTCCCGTAGCATCCTAGTCTCACCTTCATTATAACATTTACTGCATTATATAACTATTTTAATTTTTTTGGCTTCTTTTCCTTACCTGTGAGAATATTTCCATATAGAGATAGTTTTCTTTGCCTCTGCTGTAACAACTTGCATAAAATATGGCACATCTCAATAAATAATTGTTGTCTCAATAAATAATTGTTGAATAATTTGATGTAAGTACATACATTACATTGAACCAATACGTCATGATTTATGTAGCCATTGTATCTATGGCTATGTTTTAAATGGTTTTCAATTATTTTGCACCTATCCATTGCCTTTCTTGAGATTAGCATCCAAATATTAGAAAATATAAGGATTTAAGCACGCATATATAAAGTCAAAGTGTTGTCAAGTGATAGGTTAGGGCAAAGGACTGCAGGGGTATTTTCAGTGAAAATTCATCAACCTGATAGTGAGTTATTTGGGGGCCACAGCCTGCAGCATTGTCATTAACACCTGACAGAAGCAGAAAAGTTGAAGAAATATGTCCGAATACCCAGAGTAGTAATTTCCCATAGTCAGGGTATGGGTTTAGGTAGAGATAGAAGTGAAAATGGGTATATGATGTTGGTGACAACTAGAATCTTGTGGAAATTGAGAGACAGGTGAAAGCAAATGGGATCAAGGGCATATTTTTTAAAAATGGAAGACCGCTCAGCTGAATAGTGACAAGCATTGAAACAAATAATATTTTAATATGACTGCCTATTTCTCACAAAATAATGCAAACACCTACCAGGACTTCCTCTGACATAAAGAAAATAATGCATATTTCTCACTTTTTGTCTTCTAAAATGTTCTACTATCCATAGGAGTTCTATGAGATGGGAGAGACAGCTTAGTGGTAATGGCTGCCAAATGTAAAGTTATACAGTCCCTATGTTTGCATGATCAATATTTTAGTTGTGTTGCTATGTGTTTGAAGTTGCCCTTGACATTGTCAGCTCCTCTTTCTGTCTACATCCTTTTTGGGGGCAACCACCTCCAATGTTCTAAAAATAAGGATGCCTTGACACCTGGCATCTGCCAGGTCTTGAGAGAGCTATGCTAATTATGGCTGCCACTAAAGAGCTCTAGTGAAGCTCTGAACTGTCTTTGTTTTGATTTATCATCTGAACACAGATCATGAGGGCTTATGGAATAACCCTGAAGGGTCACCTATCCACTTGCTTGCACTGAGGTAAAAAGACCAAAGCCAAAAGCAAATCATCTGGGAGAGAAAAATTACTCTCTCAGCTCTTCAGAGAAGGCTGTAGAAACCCTCAGTAACTCACCCCAGTACGGAAAAGATCGTTTTGTGTTGTCGTTGTTGTTGCTGTTCATTTTGTTCAGCCAGATTTCTTATGTAGTAGTGTGAGTACCTGAATCTAAGTGCTTTGAGAAAGAAAAACAGAGCTTAGAATCATTTAAGGTTTGTATAATTTTTCCGTGATTTTCAATGCTGGCATTTTTAGAGTACCATTCCCTTTTTGTTGGCCTTTCTGTGTAGTATAAGGTTTGTCTGTTCTGGCCCTGTCCTGCCCAGCTGTATTTAGTAAGACTTAGGCTGAGAGAGGCTGCCTACCCCGTGGAAAGTGGCTGTTTACACCAGAGATCCTTAACTCCCTGGTTTCTTCAGGAGAGCAAGTTCAGCTCTTGGCTTTTAGGCATGCTGGAGAAAATAGATGCCAGATACCAAATTAGTGTGGGATGCCTGTTTTCATGACACCTTTAATGACTTCTTTTTACAGGGAGCAAAGCCCTTGATGCCTGCTTGGCAGAGATGATGTAGTATAACAGAGTGGTTAACCACACAGACTTTGTGTCAGGCACACCTAGGTTTTCATTCTGACTCTTCCACTTACATTGGTCAATCTACTCAACTATTGAATGCGATAACCTCCTTTACTGTGAAATAAGGGTATTATTTTTTCTCCCCACAGGAGTGTTAAAAAGACTCATTTTGATATTATAATAAAGTGTTTAGCATGGTTCCTATAACACAGTTAAGTGGTAGCTTATTATGAGTTTTTCTTTTTTTAACGCCTTGGTTCCAAATTTTTAAAATTTACTACTTCATATGTTATAGTCCTTTGGGTGGAAGCTTTGATGGGTAAAGTTCTCTATTGAAGTTTAAAAAAAGGGGATTGAGACCATTGAAGTGATGCTTTTTTGCAGAGATACTGAAGCCCAGGGACATTTCTAAAATATATCCAATGGGCTGAGGAACATAAGCCATTGTGTCTATCCTCTATCTGTTTAAGTAAGAGTTCTGTATAATCATCAGTCATGAACAGATATTTAATCAGTCAGAAGCTAGTAGTAGCAAAGCTACATTAGATGTGATACCTGCCTTCGAGAGATGCTCATTCTATTATGTTGAATCTTATTGAAATGCTGTTTTTGTAGGTCAAAAATGGTAGGATGTTGGCAATTTCATAAGATTCAGCATAACACTTGGACAATGTATATGTAAAAAGATCAGTAAAAATGAAGCAGTGCTATTTGTTGAAGGTGAATGATTTTAATACTAACAATTCATTCAAAGGAATGATTGCTTAGTACACACTAGAGCAATAGGGAACGATCCATGCAGACTTGTGGCTTGATTGAGGTTCCTAGAGCTGGAACCACTTCTCATTCCTCCTCTCTTCTCTTCTTTGTCCTTCTTTTGAGCTTTCCAACTATTAAGAACATAGAACAACAGTTTTAGGGGAAGAGCAAAAGACTTGAAATCATAAAACCTGAGTTCAAATCCCAGTTCTACAACTTTCTTGCATGAACTTTGTCATTTAACCTTTCCAGGTTTCTGTTTCTTCATTTGGCCAAAATGAGAAAAATAACTAGTCTTGCTGGGATGAGAACTAAATGGGTCAATGTGTTATTAAATTGTGTAGCACAGTGTTTAACTCATAGTTTTCTGTTCTTTTGTTCTGGACATAGGTCTTTGGTTCCAGCTATGCATAATCATAATGTAGTTGCTATATATATGGTGATGATGCTAGCTTTCTGGATTGACCTAATGTCTGCCTGAGCATTTCATCCCATAGTGCCTGCCAGAACTTTCCACTCATGATGTAGTTCCTTCTATAGTTCTTCCCATATTTCCTGTATTCCTGTGCATGCCTGCACACACACACACACACACAGAGAGAGCATTCACTCTGTTTTTCAATAAATAAGTACTTCTTGATCACAAACTATATGCTTTGAAAATGAGGCAATGGGTGGGATAAAATCCCTGTCTGAATATATGTTATAGTTTGTTGGGAAACTAGGCAATCAAAAATGAACAAATCAGCATACAGTAAAATTCCAGGTAGTGACAGAGGCTTTGAATAATAATAAATTGGAGGATGATGAGCAGACCCTTAATGGGAATGCTGAACTTAGTGAAAGAAAAAGTCATGCAAAGACCCGGGTTAGAGCTTTCCAGGGAGAAAGAAGAGGGATTGCGAATCTCCCAAGGTGGAAAAGATTTGGACAAGTTTCGAAACTATCAACAAAGCTGGGTGAACTGACTGCTCTGGTTACTCTATGGAAAATAGAAGGCTCGGGTTGGTGAGCAGTGGTAGAGAAAGAAGACTGAGAGGCTATTGCAGTCATTCAAGCAAGAGATAATTATGGCGTGAACACTAGGGTAGTAGCAGTGGAAGTAATAGTTTCATTTTTTTTTTTCTCTTTTAAGATGAAGTAATCAAGTTGCTGATTAATTGGATGAGGGTGGTATGAGAAAGAGAGGAATCAAGGATAGCTGCTGACCTGCTCTGAGCAACTGGATGAATAGTGGTACCAGTTATAGAGATAGGAAGAGTAGAGAAAGAACAGTTTATGGGGAGGTCAGATGAACAATGATGCCAGTTATGAAGATAGGGAGAACAGGTTTGTGGGAAGGTCAATTTGGTTTGGGATTTGTGTGTGTGTGTGTGTGTGTGTGTGTATGTATATATATTTGTGTGTATATGTGTGTGTATATATGTATATATATGTGTGTATATGTATGTGTGTATATATATATACACACACACATATATTCAAAGAGTCTAAATGAATCTGGATACCTGATTCATTTAAGTGGAATTTTAGGGCTCCACATGAGTTTATTGGATCCTTCCAAGGTCACAATCTGAGAAACACAACAACATTCACTTACGAGGCCAAGGAGTTACCTACATATACAACCCCACTTCTCCCATGGCCGAAAATCGTTGACCATAAGTGAGATGGAGGGAATGCTTTACTTTGGCATACAAAGCTAACGACTTCAAACAAAATATCTTGTTTATTTAATCTAATAGTGATCTAGAGCTATTATCTTAGCTGTTTGGGGTACAGTACTTACAAAGCTAGAATTGAAAGTCTATACTTAAAGCAACTAGCTTTTAAAGTCAGCCAGGTACAGTGACACATACTTGTAGTCTCAGCTACTCAAAAGGCTAAACCTGGAGGATCACTTGAGCCCAGGAGTTTGAGCCCGGCCTGGGTAACATAGTGAGAAACCTGTCTCAGGAAAGGAGGGAAGGAGGAAAGAAGCAAGGAAAAGAGGAAGGAAAGAAAGGAGGGAGGGAAATATCCTGACTAGAGGCATATTTAGCCACATTGCAAATGTTGACCAGGAAGACTCAAAACTAATAGCTACTTATTAAGAATATCTGCTATGGGAGAAATTTTATTAATTTTAGAAGACATCTACTTTCATCCTCATAGGTACCCCTTTAAGGTTGGTTTTTTAGCTTCATTTATTGAGTAGTTGACTAAGATGTAGAAAGGTTAACAATTGCTGAAACTCACACAAAAAAAGTCGACCATAAGTGAGATGGAGTGAAAAAGTAGGAATTACTATTCCCCACCTTATCTCCATAGGAAATAGACTAAGGAACAGATCTTGCTGACTCTGAGTTGAGGAACTGATATGCAGGAAGTCAGCCCTCTTTATGTACTTCCTCTTTATGCTCTTCTTGGATAGTAGGAGAACATCCCCAAAAAGATACCATGTACTTTCTCCTTTCTGCATAACCCAGCCTTCTGTAGCTCATTTGGCCAGTCTTAAACATCATGTCACAAATGACCTTTACCTTGTTGATTTTGGAATGTATACCTCTACATCTTAAGGGAAACTAGTTTTATAGGCTTTGTGGAGAAAGTGCTCAAGGAGGGATGAGAACTTTCCCTGATACTCCACCCATGATCTCATGATCTGTTTGCACCTGCCTTCCCTCAAAGTCAGACCTGCAGTCCCTTTCTTTCCTATGCATTCTCGCGCAAGAGCAGAGAGGGGCTGTTAGTTTTTCTGGCCTAACCTAGGTCCTTAGGAAATATTGTTGAATGAATAAATAGTACTAGGAAGCCCTATTCCTAAACACCCTACTCCTAAATGGTGCCCAAACTCTGTTCACTCCTGTAATGGCTGTGGAGAGCTTACCTCACTTCCCGCTTCCACAGGTCACAGGTGCTAATTTCAAAAGTACTCAGTCCCTTTGCCCCTGTTATTTCCTAGTTTTGTTTTTCCTTTTCTTTTTTGTTTTCTTTTAAAGATGTCCTGAAGATTAGCTGGTGTGTGTGTCTGGTGGGGGTGGGGGAGTAGGGGGGATGTGGTCGCTGGAAAATGTCACATGGGGTAATGGACCATCGTCTTCTGTCTCTTTTCTGCCTTCTCTGGCTGTTTTTTTTTTTCTCCTGTTCCCCCTCCAGAAGCCAGCTCCACCCCAAGGTTTGTAAGTAAGAAATCTGCCTAAATCAGTTTCCTCAGGGTCTAGTCATCTACCACCCAGAAGAAATACTTTCCCCAACAAGGCAGTTTCCTTTCTAAAAGAAATTTCTGAGAATAACATTGTCTCTCCTTTGTTATAAATGTGATTGTGCGAGTTTTCCAGTGAGAACTGTCTTGGGTTGGAGAGGAAATTGAAAATCCTCAGTTCCAGTCCATCAGAATGACAAAATAACAAGTTCAGTTTGATTTTACCATCAACCTCTCACCATTGCAATTTTCACCTCACTGGAGTCTGTCTGCACTTGATATCTCATTCACCTTTCTTCTGCTCTGTTTGCTGGGATATGCAGGATGGCTTGGGAAGTGTTGGGAAATTTCAAGGGTATTTTCCTTATTTTGGCTACCTTTTTCTCTCAGCCAATAGAATCATAGTAATAATCATCATCATAGAAGTAATAATAAACACTAATTGAAAACCATAAACATTTACCACCTACTATATGCCTTATCTTGTACTAAACTTTTTCTTGTGTTTTGCTAATTAATGTCAAAAAATCCCCCCTAAAAATTATCCTCAAATTACACAGATGAGAAAACAAAGATTCAGGAACCTGGTACTGATTTACTCAAAGATGCACAGTTCAACTGTTCAAGCTAGCATTCAAGCCAAGGGCTTCTGAGTCCAAATGCAATGTCTTATCTGAATATGAAAACAAGAGAAAATTGGGGATATCCTAACCTTCTATGTTGGATATATACTATAAATTTTATGTTTGATCCCTTGTTGTGGAGCTGCTTAATTTCAAATACTATTTTGATTGACTAAAATGATCACTTTCACATCAAAGAAGTGAACCAAAAAGTGGAAGAAAAAATAAATACATGTTGCATATACATGATGCACATGGTTGATGTGTTATGACACTCATCTTGAAGAGTGAGGAACTATTGGTAGACACACCCTCTTTCCTAATTCAGAAAAGGAGAATGTCATAACAATTCTGTTGTCTCATTTCCATGTATTTATATCACACCTAAACTGTTAAACTAAAATAATTCAGAGTCCAAAGAGAAACATGTGTCTAATTACTTTTTTCAAAGCAGAAGTGCTTACTTCAGTTCAACCTCTTCCCCTAAAACTCTATTGTTTACAGCATTTACTTTATAATTAAATACCCTATATTATTTTCCTGCCTAAAATATACTGTGATAATTACAATTTTGTGACCTTGAGCAAGTCATTTAGACTCAAAATTTTCCCCATTTATAAAATGGCAATAATACTAATGCCATCATATAGGGTGTTATAAAGATTTTTTTTAGAAATAGATGATGAATATAAACTCATTATCACATGTTAGATCTCAGTAAAAGCCAATCTCCTTACCCTACTGTGCTTCTAGAATGTAAAATTCTAAAGATCAAGAGCCAGCTATGATCCCTACTCCAGAGCTAGGAACACAGAAAGTGAATTAAATATTATGCTGATCTCTAGTAGAATTCCATCTCCTTAGCCCATAAAAAAGCAATGCTCTTTCTATATTCCTCTCAGACCACAGTCCAGAGCCCAGAGCTCAGGCTTATAAATTACAGCAGGTGTGTTTTCCTTCTAACTCAGAGCTTTGAAGGAGGTTTTGATGTAGATATTTGTACTTAACAAGACAGTGTCCAGAAGACCCAATTCCATTTGCTGATACCATTTCCCCACTAGATTTCAACCAGTTGAGCTACAGTTCACTGCTCACCTATTAAAACCTGGTTGATTCTCACATATGAGATACATTGGCAAGGTCCACATGCAGTCTTCCATTGCTAAGAAGATGAAGCCAATGGTTGCTGTAAGGCTCATAAACCTGTTACCCTCATAGATCAATTTCGCAGCAATTGTGCTTTTAAATGATTACAATCCAGGCAACCAAGAATAATTTCAAAACTACTCAAGCTAGCATTACTCAATATTATGAAAGGGACAAC